TGGTACCGTTGAGCTATCGTCTACTAGCGGTTTTATTATTTTTTTATTATTATTAATTTTTTTTTTTTGGTCACGGCATCAGCACGATTGAAGCACATTTCGCCACTCTGGAAGCACAGGCCGGGGCTCAGCCTGCCTTTAACAGCTGTGCCTTTTTTCTAACATAGCATTTCCTTTTTAATCACTAAGCTAGCCTGAAAAGCAGCCCAAAAAGGAAGAAATACTACCCTTTTCTTCCCTCAGGAGCTGGAAGTAAAGACATACCAAAAATAGTCGTAGCCTGTTTGCTAATCTTCAACTGTGGGTCACTTTATAGCTTTTAAACAATACTAAGATTTAGACCTACATCAAACTGGATAAGGGAAGGGAGAAGCCAGCACTGACATTGCAGGAGGGGAAGATCAGAAATGCTCAAAAGGCAACAGAAACAGTCTCACCAGAGCAAAACTATTTCCATGCTCGAGGAGGATGCACTTGCTCAGACGGTCAAGATGAAGAACACCTCAAGTGTAAGTATTTACAAGTATAAAAGTTCAGACTACTCTGCAGAGTTCAGGGTTCGCACGCTAGGAGCACAAAGTGCCACCATGCTACCCATTTCCCCTTTGAAAAGCCCTTACCAGACAAGTAAGCTTAGCAAGTCAAAGAGCCCTTTCTCCCCAGAATCTATGAGCTCTTCTTCTATAAAAATGGTTTTGAATAAGCTTCCTCAGACCACAACTTCTCTTCACAGCAAGAAAAGTCTTCCTGCTGGGGGAAAACAAGCTCTTAGTTCTAGCAGAGCTGTAAGTCTTTGTACCTTCGATAGCAGAAGGACAAAGCTTTTACATCTACCCCAATACAAGTTTCTTTTCATTATAATCAACAGTTTAAAAAGGTAATCCAGTAGAATCCAGTGCATTTATTTCTTGTAATATCTGAAGGGGTGTTTCAACTTTGGATTTGAATACATACAAATTAACGGTTGCAAGTTTAATGACAATCAATACTAGAAGCAAATCACTGTATAAAGCTCATAGAAAAATGCCAAAATTGGTGGTGGTTTTTTTTGGTTGGAAAAAATACTAAGCATTCCAAATGAAGGCCTCGTGGAAGCAAGCATCCCCCCCCCAAAAAAAAAAAAAAAGTTAGGAACTAGTCAGAGTCATCCATCAGTGTAGGCAGCTGGGATACAAGTCTTCATTCTGTCTACAAATAGCTATTTAACTAGAGACAAGTTTACATGGTCTGATCAGCTGGGGAGTTTGCCAGGAATACACATTTCCATATCTAAGAGCACATTCATAGTCTGATCTGTAAGAGTATACAGTTGCTATTCTACATATCAGATAAATGAATTTCATTGTGGGCTCACTGTCCATGATATGAGGACATCAGCTAATGAATACATGTACTGGTAATACTACCTATTACTTTGCATACCTCGTGTAGCAATTAATTGCTCAAGTGCAGATAAAATATTGTCAACTCAGCCCAGGTCAAAATAAATCTCAAGTAGTGTGTTAACAACAGAACAAGGGCTAGATTAAGATAAGCAAATGAAAGATTATAATCCAGGCTCCCA